CCTTCCTAAAAATAAAGACTAACTCAAAGAACCACAAGCATGTAGTTTGTGGTTTAAAAACAAACAATAATGGCTTTAGTTTTTTTGTGGTGTTTTCGGGCTGTGTGGCCTTGTTCTAGAAGAGTTTCTTTCTGACGTTTCGCCAGCATCTGTGGCTTTAACAAATATTGACACAACAAACGAAAACCTAATCTAACTGTAGTTTATAAAGCAGGAAGAGAGATGTTAGCCTTCCTGAGAGAGGTACTGTTACTGACTGAATACTAGAAGTTACAGAATATTCAGAGAGTCAGTTAAACTGCCTCTTATGATTCACAGTTAGAATGAGAGGAAGGGAAGGGTGAAGTCCTGCCTAACTAAAGAGGAACAGGAGAATGCTCAGTGCTAAGGAATTATGGGAACTATAGTTTATTGTGGCACCAGAGGTCTCTGACAGAGAAGGCTCAATGCCCCAGAAAAAAATGCAATTCCCATGATTCCTTAGCACTGAGCCAGGACAGTTAAAGTGGCCTCAAGCTGCATTATTTCTGGCAGTCTGTAAAGGCCCTAAGTTTTCACTAGGTTGTATGATTAAAGGTATCATTTACACATTTAGCTATTATTGTTACTATTGGCTCATATCATTAATGTTAATTTAACTTTAAAAATCATGAAGCATCTCCACAGAAGCATGCATAATGCCCTTTGGGGGCCGTATGTTTACACTGAGGGAGTTTCTTCATAGAGAGAGGCAGGGAATATAAATTATTATTATTATTATTATTATTATTATTATTATTATTATTATTATTATTAGGACACAAGGGCTATCAGTTTTGATGGTGGTGGACACACATCTCTTCAGCCAGAAGCAGCCGGAAGGTGGCAGCAGCATAATGAAGCAGCTTCTAACATGGAAGGCAGGCAGGCAGAAGCACAGCAGAAAAGAGTGCATCTACACTGCAGAAATTATGCAGTCTGGCATCACTTTAACTGCCATGGCTCAATGCTAGGGAGTCCCAGAATTAGTAGTTTGTTGTGGCATCAGCGGTCTCTGACAGAGATGGCTAAATGCCTCACAAAACTACAAATTCCAGCATTCCATAGAATCTTGGGCATTTGTTTTAACTTGTGTTGTCAACTAGCAGTGCTTCGACTTTGCCTTTTTGGACCTATGGTCCAAAAATGGATGCTTCCAAACTCTTCCTAGTACAGTGCTGGGAAACCAACAAGGCTCCTGAATTACATTTTTGAATTACATCTCCCAGCATCCCTGAGCATTGCTTGCTGGGATTTTTGAAGATTAAATATTCAGTGGTATTTGACGGATACAGGTTTGCCAGCTCTTGTAGAAGAGATGGAATGACTGTTGTAGGCTCATTCTTTGACTCCAGGAATGCTATCAAGGCTATATTTTCTAGTAGCGGAGCAGAGAAGAAAGTACTAGGAGTTCATGTGGGATCCCAGTCTGAAAAGCCAAGTATCCATCAAAACAACATGGCCCTGACATAGAAAAAGTTACCCTACTTCTTTTAAATTTCAATTTAAATTGAAAAGGAAAATTTAAAGAGTATAAAAATCTAATGTTGTGCTTTTTCTCTTTCTTTGCTCTCCCACAGGTACGAACTGAAGGGTCAGATAAGAGCTGTGTCACTTTTGTGCTCCACAATGAAGACCACACCCTTGGCAACTCCCTTCGGTACATGATCATGAAAGAGTAAGTACATTTCCCTTAATTAAATGACTACTAAACCAGTAACAGAGGATTCTTTCTAGTCAGAAATCAGAGCTTGGTTTGAGCCAAAGCGCTCCAGAAACTACCATTCAGTATGGCCAAGGATGGCTTGGAGATTCTGAGAGGTGTGGGCCAAAAAAAGTAATTTTTCCATTCTCTGGTTCAATAAGCTTAAGTTTCTTTATAAAAATGAATGAAAACACTTGGTGCACTGCCCCACCCCCATTTCATGGCCGCACTTGGCTTGAAATAGTGAGGAGTTGTTCTATTGAATTGATAACGGATGTGCAAAACTTGCTGGAGTACTTCAAAGTTTTGTCCCATTGCCAGCCACAATTTCAATTGGTTCATAGTACAAATCCCGTTTTGAATGATGAGGAAATAGCAGTTGCTGCTGCAAAATAGGAGGAAAAATCTGTTAACATCTTTTATCCCCATCTCTCTTTCCCATGACAGCAGTGATCTTTTCGACACTGCACAATTCTAAGGTGATGAACCCATATTTTTTCTGTTATAGAACTTGGAGCAAAATTCTTGATCCGTTTTTTTCCTAAGAATAGCATGTGAGCCAGCGTGGTGTAGTGGTTGAGTGTTGCACTATGACTCTGGAGATCAGGGTTCAAATCCCTGCTTGTCCACAAAAACCCATTGTGTGACTTCAGGAAAGTCACATACTCTCAGCCTCAGAGGTTGACACTTGCAAACCACCTCTGAAGGAGCTTGACAAGAAAACCCCATGATAGGATGCCTTAGGGTCACCATAAATTGGAAATGACTTGAAGGCACGCAACAACAAAAACAACAACATGCACTCCACTCTCCCAGTTTGTTTCATTACTACCTTTGCTGTCTTAGATCCCATGAGTGCAGACTGCTAATAGTGTTCTCTCTTTTTCTCTTTGTTTTATTGCAGCCCTGAAGTGGAATTCTGTGGTTATAGTATCACACATCCTTCTGAAAGCAAAATAAACTTCCGCATTCAGACCAAAGGTGAAGTGTTCTTTCCTCCTTACTGGAGAGCCAACACAGCTTGTTTGCTACTTTCTCCTGTCCCTGAGAGGCATTGTCCCTGTAGAGTTTCATTCCCTTCATTTAAGAGTTCGCCTCATGCTACCATCAAGTTGGAACTGGAATTTTTTCACTGAATATTGGGTCTGTCTTATTAGTTATTTGTTTCTTAGGTAGCCTTGGGCATACGGCTTTTTCTCAACCTCATTTCTTTCCCCATCTGCAGTTGGTTATTGTTAACTGTCTTCAAGTCGACTTATGACGACCCTATGAATGGGAGACCTCAGTGTTCCTATTAATTCCCTTGATTTACACCCTATGCTTTTATTGATGCAGTCTAGAGTCTCATTGGCTTTTTCAGGATCCGCATCACACAGTTGAATCATGTTCAACTTGTCTCCTAGATCCCTTTCACATATACTGTTGTCAAGCCAGGTATCTCCCATTATGTATATGCACATTTCACTTTTTTCCCTCTAAGTGTAGTACCTTACATTTCTCCTTGCTGAAATTCATTTCATTAATTTTTGCCCAGTTTTCTAATCTATTAAGGTCATTTTGAATTTTGATCCTTTCCTCTGAGGCATTAGCTACTCTTCCCAATTTGGTATCATCTGCAAATTTGATAAGTATGTTCTCTAATCCTTCAACTCATTGATGATGTCGAATAGCACTGGGCTCAGGATAGAACTCTGGCACCCCACTGGTCACTTCTCTCCAGGATGAAGACAAGCCATTGATGAGCACTCTTTGGGTTTGGTTGGTCAAATCCACCTAATGGTTGCATTATCTAACCTGCTTTTTACTGCTTGTTTATGAGAGTATCATGGGGGATCTTGTCAAAGGCCTTACTGAAGTCAAGATCCAAAGCATTCCCTTCATTTACCAAGCTGTTAATTTTATCAAAAAAAGAGATCAGATTAGTCAGGCATGACTTTCTTTTTGAGAAACCCATGTTGATAATGACATTCCTTTCTAAATGCTTACACTGTTTAATGATCTGTTTGAAGGATTAAGATTATTTTCCCCTTTATGGTAATTTGGGTGCTACACATTCCTTCATATGTTAAACACAGTGACATCTTGACATCTGAGAACCACAGGGTTGTGTCCCACTGTAGACAACTATCTTCCATTGCAGGAAAAAGGAAAGTTGGATTTATCATGAAGTTAAATGGAGGGTTGTCTACCCCACTCAAGTATTAATGTTTCACTGTGGTGGGGAGATGGATCTTGATTATTTATTAATCTCTCAGCAGTTTCTTTCCAATAAGTTACTGATTATCCATTGCTATTTTATTTTTACATGTGATTTTTGTTTGCAGAGCTTGGTTATTTGGAAACTAGAGTTGGTTGCTCTTCACAGGAGAATGCACTCTGATTCATTTGAGTACAGAGCCCATGCTTCTGGAGCAGTAAGGAGGAGCTCATACACCAGAGCACTGTTTGCCCACTTCAGAAAAGGAAACTTCATGTTAAATCCAATTTCTTTTTCCGTGTAGATGGTGTCCCTGCTGTTGAAATGTTCCAGAAGGGGCTGGAGGAACTCATGGGAGTGTGCCAGCATGTACTAACCACATTTGAGGTAAGTGTCTGTTCCCCTCTCCTTGAAGGTACACTGAATATAGAGAAGTAACGTCACGGTCTTGATGTTGTCTGATTTATTTTTGTAATGTTGTGCTTTATTGTTATTTTTTCTTAATATAAAATGAAATTTAAAAATGAAAAATTATAACAAGTTATTTAGAAATAGCTGTGTAATGGGACTTGGTTGTACCTTGCCTTTCTCTGAAATGGTAGACAAAAAGTCACAATGATTGCTGCAGGCTGCATTTCTCAAGGTCTTCAAACTCTGTTCAGATAGTCATTGTGGGCAGAATGAACATGAAGGTGACTGGAACAAGTTTGAACCATCTGGCTTCACCTCTGGACTATACATTAATAGAGTTTTAAAGAAAGCTTATGTGTAGATACCCACATGTTTTGTAGGTTCTCTTACAAAACATTTTTATTACATTCAGCTAAATGTATGGAGTTAATAGGATGAAGTGGATGGTACAATTTTTTCTCTTCCCACTCACCATAATTTTGTACACTAGCATTCATCTCCATTCATTGGCTTGACATGATGGGAGATACACTACATATTTGTAGGGCTTCATTTGAGAAAGGCAGCTATGCATATTGGTTATGTAAACAGTACTTGGGAGACTGGTAAGCAGCCAACTCTGTGATGTGAACCACATTTTCTCAGGGGTACACATGTGTGGAGTTGTCTAGATGACCCAGCTATGTGATTTCTGAACCCCAAACCCCTTACTCATGATCTTTGTGTACTCTGTTGTAGGCAAGTGTGGAAGAATACAAAGCCGAAAAGGATACAAATATGGAATAACCACAGTGGCACTGCCATGATGGACATCACTGTACATACACTGCTGTGGGACTGTGATTTCTTTAAAAGCTATTTTCCTGGGAAGTGTTGAGAATTCTGGCTTAAATCCAAAGGAGAAACCTGGTAAAGAAACCTCTTTCCTCAGCAGGATTATGATGGAGAGAGCTTGCAATTCTACTGTAACCCTCTATGCACTGAAAAGCTTGCTGTGGAGTTTGGGAAAACCTCTGGAACTGGTTTTTGGACAGCAGAAATGAAGGAAAGAATATCTTGTCATGCTGGTGGTGCAGCAGCAGATACTGGACCTAGACCTGTTTCAAAATGGGGTATTATGTAACATGAAGAAAATAACTTGAAACAGAGCAATGAACTTTTTATCTTACTGTGAGACTCAAGAAAAGGAGCTTGTTGGTATTCATCTTGTACATACTGACAGTCTGTCGATCAATTTTTATTCACCAGCAGTCTGATTTTTCTTGTGTTAATGTCCTAAATCCCCAGTTTTTGATGGCCTCAAAATACATATTTTAATTTGTCTCTTAAATGCATTTGCTTGAAAATCAAACTTGAAATATTTTCCTTATTTGGCTGAGTGACTGGCTTAGTGAGATGTTTAATAAGCCCAAATCCAAGCCACATAAAGTTTTTTCATATTTCTGTTTTTTAACAGGATAGCAGGTATTTCAAAATAGCATTGCAGTTTTAGGTAGTGAGTTGGTGGGAGTGGGAGAATGTAGCATCTTGATAGACTAGCTTTTAATAAACAAATTTCTAGTCCTTCATCCCACATACATAGCCTCACTGTAGGGATCTTAACTTAGTCACAGAGCCTCTGCTTTGTATTCAAAAGGTCCCAGGTTTGATCTCTGCCATCTCCAAACAGGGCTGAGAAAGCCCTGTCTCAAAGTCTGGAGACCCACTGCCAGTCATTGTAGATAATACTGGGCTATATAGATCAATGGTGTGACCTCATATATTCTTGGGATGAGAAAGAATGCAGCTCTGAAAGTCCCACTTTCAATCCCTGCAATCTCCAATTAAAAGGAGCAAACAGGAGATGATGGGAAAGAAGTTTTTCTACCTGAGACCCCAAAGACTTGTTCCAGCTACAGTGGACAACACTGGACTTCAAAATGGTTCAATGATATGAGATAGCTTTGGATATAAGACGGATTGGTATGTATTCAATTAAGGCAAGCAGTCACATGGTACCTGCCAAAAGGGGTTTGCAACTTATACTCCCTTATGTGTTAAACTCGAACTCAGGGAGTGTCTGTGTGACATCTGTGTTCTCTAGAGGAACCTGTGAGATCAATACTTCACCAGAAGTATTAAGTATTTAGTAGATTTCTGACTCCCCTTCTCCCCTTCCTGGTTTGCTGTTAATAAGAAGGTCTCCATATCTTTCATATATGGGAAATGTTTCATTCATGCTGAGCTGAAAGAATGGCAAGGCTCTGAACGTCATCATTTGCTATACAATGGTTTTGTGCCCTTACCAATTGACAGATGTCCCAGGTATGGACTGATGACCTTGGAAAGTGTTGGGTCACTAAGGACACTACCCAGGGTTTCACAATGAGGTTGCTTCTTTCAGGCTTTTCTCTGAATTAGTATTTCTATGTTACTAAGACTGAAAGGAAGAAAGCTAACTTATTGAAAGGTTAGGGCACGGCTACAATTTGTTAAACTTGTGCATGTTCAAATTGCTTATGGCTTATGGCAACCCTAAGGTGAACTTATCATGGGGTTTTCTTGGCAAGATTTGTTCAGACAGGATTGCTATTGCCTCTCAGGCTGAGATAGTGTGACTTGCCTAGTGGGTTTCCATGGCTTAGTGATTAGGGATTCAAACCCTGGTCTCCCAAGTTGACCCAATGCCCAAACTACTATAGCATGTTGGCTCTGTTGAACTAAACACTTACATGTAAAATATAAGTGGGCATGTTTTTTCTCTCAAAGGCTTAATTCCTTGGGAATACATTCTTGGTGGTGCATGGTGGTGTTGGGATGAAGCAAGCAGTTCTGTTGCTGTGTGCCTTCAAGTTATTTCTGACATACGGTGACCCTATCATGGGGTTTTCTCTGCAAAATTTGTTCAGAATGGCTTTACTTTTGCCTTCCTCTGAGAATGTGGCTTACTCAGGATTGGCCAATGTGTTTCCATGACTGTGTCTAGATTCAAACCATGGGCTCCCATGTTTCTTGCTCTTTGTGCCTTCACGTTTCCAACA